GGAATATTTCTATGGAAAAAACTCATTTACATACTAAAATGTGCCTAGCTAAATTAAAGCAGAGGTCCAGGGGTGATATACCAGTTAACAATGTCTAAAAATGGAATGCAAATAATTTCCCCTGCACTTAGGACTAATGAAACAAAATTTTATAGAGATAATCATATTGAACATAACATTTTGAGGGAAAAATATTTACTACGGATCATTCTCCCTATAGAAGTGAAGGAAGTCTTACCACTTGGATTATTTTTAGAAAACCTCAGTAGAACTGAACAAGGTTCACAGATGGTGGTAGATTAGAATAGTAATGAGATGTTTCCATGTCTTCTTGTTAACTCTGGATGCTGCTGCAGGAAAATTACGTTTCAAACTCTAAGAGTTCTTATAGGTCCCACAGCTGTCAAAAATATTTTTGAAGTAGAGGGATGAAAAAAGAAACAAAAGATAAGTAGGGAAACACCAACAGCATTATTTTCCAATGATTTGTAACAAGAAAAATGAGTAATAAAAATGAAAATTCAGTTGTCTGAGAAATTCTATGAATATGGGGAGCACTGCTCAGTTCCACTGTATGGTTTACGCTAAGATAGCCAGAACATTCTTGACTGTGACTCTACAGTCGGTCAAATCTAGATAACATGAAATAAATCTCAGGAGTTTTGGCACCATCTTGAAGCACTGGTTTGATAATTCTGCCTCATTGTTAGGCTAAATCAATTCCACCTCATTTATACATATGATAAACCATATGGTAATAAGCTTTCTTTCATACTTGGAGAAATAAGACTCTTAGGAAACTACCAGTTTCTCTACACAAAGTTATTTCAATTCATTTGCATGTTCCTAGGAACACCATACTTAAGACATGCCAGTTATTCACACTCTGCAAATAGCAGCTCATCTATGCAAAACACATTAAAGTATATCACTAATTTTGGGTGTACATTTTTTACATTCTGACATTTCTGAAAACAGAATGCATCTTATGATTAATGTGGTAAGATGCCATTGTGTCATGTAATTGGCAGTGTTTTTGTCTTCCCTTGTGGTACATAAAATCTTGGTGCGTCTTACAATCACTGATGTTTTAGATTTGCTGAAATGCAGTTAAGTTTATAGTCACTGGCATATGAATGATATCTGAAACCATGAGACCAGAAGAGGTTACCTGGGTAAGTGAGAAGAGATCTGAGGAAATACAACATTAAAGGTTGGATGGAAGAAAAGAAATCAGAAAAGCAAACTAGGAAGGAATGGTCAATTAGAAGGAACATCAGGAGAGCATACTGTCAAGGGAAGGTGTACAGACTCGGTGGTTTAAGAGAGGGGGGTTGTTTCTGTCAAACACTGCTGAGATCAAGTAAGAGAAGAACTATAAAATGTCCATTGAATTCAGTAACATGGAAGACACTGGTGACTTTAGCAGGGATGGTCCCAGGAGCACTAGCATCAGAAGCCATAACACTGTGGCTGGAAGAGTGAGTTCATGCGAGCTGAGAAAGTAGAGGTTCTACTCCTTGCAGAAGTTAGGTTGGGATTGGGCAGAAGCCAGAGTGGGGCAGCCTGGCCACTCAAACTCTATCCCGGAGCAGCAAAGAGCCAAAGCATACAAAGAGCTTTCCAGAAGCAACTGGCATGTCAAGATATTTTCAAGAAAGAAGCCTATTAATGTTGCCAATGAGGAGGCATCTCAAATTGTGATTCACACAGGATAAAAAATAACTCCCATTAGGAGGAATTTGTGAGAAATAACATTTTAAAGGATTAAGAAAAGGAGAAGTGGATCACTGGGCAAGGATTTATCCTGCGTATGTTGGTCTCCCCAATCCTATGAAACTTTTTACCTAGCTTTAAAAACTGTTTTGTTTTTTTAAAATTATGAAACATATACTTATTTATGTAATGTTTTAAGATTCAGAAATATAAAAGGAAAAACAATCACTCCTAGTTCCATAATCCAAACACAAGCACTGTTAATAATCTTTTGGTGTATTTTAGGAAATATTTACACCTGATTTTAAGCATTGTTGGATTTGGTGGTAGTGAAGTGCTGGGTACAATAATCCCAGGGAAGGGGAGGGAGAGTCTAACCTCAGTCTTCTGCTTTATGAACTTTCCCTTTCCCCCAAACCTTCAGGGGAGTTGGCTACATACCATAATACCTTGATGCGCTACAGAGGGCTGTGTAAGAGGAAGGTTCCAAATCTGCATAGCTGTGTCATGGAACAGAGATGCATCAGCGTATGCTGAAACAGTCTGTAACCTGAATTCAGTGGGAGCAGATTATGTCAGGGGTGACTATAAAAATACAAACCAACAGGGGAGCTGGCAGAAAATCTGGGGGGAGCTTTAGAGTTCTGAAGGGAGTAAAATGAGGGTGTTCAAAGTAACTTGACCAATATCTCTCATGGATCAGGCCGATCGCAGCTGTCACTTGGTTTATATAAAATTACCATAATAATAATAAAAACAATAACAAATACTTTTTAGGCTACTTACTCTATGCCATGCACTGTGCTCTCACTTTGCATATTTGACCTCAGGGAATCCCCATAATACCCCAGGAGTTAAGTCCTTAAACAGTCTCCATGTCACAGTTATGTTTAGAGACCTGACATGTTTCCCCAGCCTGAAGCTAAGGTCTGTGTAACCCCAAAGCCCAAGTTCATTGTTTTTATCCCAGCATTGAGCACTGGTGAATGCCTGTGAGTTCACCTTAGCCCTGTTATCCAAAATTAATATGTTTAAGATAATCAACTCACAATTATTTTAAATAACTCTATCCATGAAATTAGCATTTGCAAATAGAATGCTTTAAGACAAAATCATACCATAAAATTAAATTCACAAACCACTATCAGAATATACTTTGAGATAAACCCAAACACAGAAAGCCCGGGAATGGGGTACAAGGGCCTAAACTCTGGCCAAGGAGACGTTCAGGACTCTCATGACTAATCAAAGTGAGAACCCCAAACATCCAATTCCATTCAACAAAACGCCTATGTGCAACTCTGTGTTAGGACAAAAGGGTGAATAAGATCAAGTCTTTGTCCATCCTCAAGAATCATACAGATTCAATGGAAAACACTGTGCCCCAGCTTAATAGCGTTTTCATTCCCATCCCTGCTTAGCTGGGGTTAGATTGAGGAAAAAAAAAAAAAAAGAAAGAAAAGAAAGGTTTTGTCAGCTTTTCTAGGCCAAGGCTGAAAAGCTTCAGTGAAAACACCGGGCCCTACCACAGCATTGCCAGGCCTGAAATGGGATACCCAGCAGGGGAACACAAGTCTAGCTTGATCCTTCTCTCACTGCCTAGAATCAGGAGGACCCTTTGAATCACACAGAGACAGAGCCTCTCTTAGCAATTCCCCATCACTCCACCTTCTAATTGCAACCTTAATAGAACATGAACCTTTACTTTCTACCCTGCAGGCTGAATACTGGACCGCTGAACGTTTTGGGCTCCAGGATCATCTCAGACTATCTGGAAAAGTAAAGCTGCTCTGCAAGGAGCCCAAAGGTCAGAGGAGGGTTACCTTTTCTTAAAAAGGACAGAAAAAAGGAATGGCACTCGCCACCGGCTTTGCTTGGGCCAAAGACATTCAATATCATATAAAATAGGCTGTTAGGTCACTGCCATTTTGGGGAAAGAGATTCAGAGGTTGTTGAACAGGGAGAAATCAAAATGTCTGCAGCAGCCAAAACCTAAGACAAGTTTATGTTCTAATCTAAGAAAAGCAGCTAGATAAATAGTTTGTCGTGCTAAATCTGGTATCATGACATTTTCTAACTCTACCAACATGAAAAGTAAAGTATTTGTGAGTCAGAAGGTCTGAGATCTGGTTCTGATTTCAATTTTGAAACTGAACTATTAGGGGCAGACAGCTGAGTTGCTGAGTTTCTATCTCTGAGTTTTTACTTCTATGAAGGTCGTACTAGGTATTTAGTGTCTTTCTCCATTCTAAAAGGCCGCAATTCTAATTCAGTGGTACCATCTAGAAAAGCTTCTAAGAACGCAAAACAGTAACTATGGAAATAC